CATGTACCATATCTAGTTTACTTGGCATGTACCATATCAAGCTAAATGAACATGTACCATAATCTAGTTTACTTAACAAGTTCCATATCTAGTTTACTTGACATGTACCGTATCTAGCTTTCTTAACATGTACCATATCTAGCTTACTTGACATTTACCATATCAAGCTAACTGAACATGTACCATATCTAGCTTACTTGACATTTACCATACCGAGCTAACTGAACATGTACCATATCAAGCTAACTGAACATGTACCATATCTAGCTTACTCAACATGTACCATATCAAGCTAAATGAACATGTACCATAATCTAGTTTACTTAACAAGTTCCATATCTAGTTTACTTGACATGTACCGTATCTAGCTTTCTTAACATGTACCATATCTAGCTTACTTGACATTTACCATATCAAGCTAACTGAACATGTACCATATCTAGCTTACTTGACATTTACCATACCAAGCTAACTGAACATGTACCATATCAAGCTAACTGAACATGTACCATATCTAGTTTACTTGGCATGTACCATATCTAGTTTACTTGACATGTACCATATCTAGTTTACTTAACATGTACCATATCTAGCTTTCTTAACATGTACCATATCTAGCTTACTTGACATTTACCATATCAAGCTAACTGAACATGCACCATATCTAGCTTACTTGACATGTACCATATCTAGTTTACTTAACATGTGACATATCTAGCTTACTGTACATGTACCATATCTAGTTTACTTACCATGTGACATATCTAGCTTACTTACCATGTACCATATCTAGCTTACTTACCATATACCATATCTAGCTTACTTACCATGTACCATATCTAGCTTACTTGACATGTAACATATCTACCTAACTGAACATGTACCATATCTAGTTAACTTAACATGTACCATATCTAGTTTACTTAACATGTGACATATCTAGCTTACTGTACATGTACCATATCAAGCTAACTGAACATGTACCATATCTAGTTTACTTGAGATGTACGATACCTAGCTCACTGAACATGTATCATATCTAGTTTACTTAATATGTGACATATCTAGCTTACTTAACATGTACCATATCTAGATTACTTGACATGTAACATATCTAGCTAACTGAACATGTACCATATCTAGTTAACTTAACATGTACCATATCTAGTTTACTTAACATGTGACATATCTAGCTTACTGTACATGTACCATATCAAGCTAACTGAACATGTACCATATCTAGTTTACTTGACATGAACCATATCTAGTTTACTTGACATGAACCATATCTAGTTTACTTAATATGTGACATATCTAGCTTACTTAACATGTACCATATCTAGCTTACTTGACATTTACCATATCAAGCTAACTGAACATGTACCATATCTAGCTTACTGAACATGTACCATATCTAGTTTACTTAATATGTGACATATCTAGCTTACTTAACATGTACCATATCTAGATTACTTGACATGTAACATATCTAGCTAACTGAACATGTACCATATCTAGTTAACTTAACATGTACCATATCTAGTTTACTTAACATGTGACATATCTAGCTTACTTAACATGTACCATATCTAGTTTACTTAAAATGTGACATATTTAGTTTACTTGACATGTACGATATCTAGCTTACTGAACATGTACCATATCTAGTTTACTTAACATGTGACATATCTAGCTTACTTAACATGTACCATATCTAGTTTACTTAACATGTGACATATCTCGCTTACTGTACATGTACCATATCTAGCTTACTAACCATGTACCATATCTAGCTTACTGTACATGTACCATATCTAGCTTACTTGACATGTAACATATCTAGCTAACTGAACATGTACCATATCTAGTTAACTTAACATGTACCATATCTAGTTTACTTAACATGTGACATATCTAGCTTACTGTACATGTACCATATCAAGCTAACTGAACATGTACCATATCTAGTTTACTTAACATGTACCATATCTAGTTTACTTGACATGTACCATATCTAGCTTTCTTAATATGTACCTAATCTAGCTTACTTGACATTTACCATATCAAGCTAACTGAACATGTACCATATATAGTTTACTTAACATGTACCATATCTAGCTTACTCGACATGTACCATATCAAGCTAACTGAACATGTACCATATCTAGTTCACTTACCATGTACCATATCTAGCTTACTTACCATGTACCATATCTAGTTTACTTGACATGTACCATATCCAGTTCACTTGACATGTACCATGTCTAGCTTTCTTAACATGTACCATATCTAGCTTACTTGACATTTACCATATCAAGCTAACTGAACATGTACCATATCTAGCTTTCTAAACATGTACCATATCAAGCTTTCTGAACATGTGACATATCTAGCTTACTGGACATGTACCATATGTAGCTTACTTAACATGTATCATATATTGCTTACTGAACATGTACCATATCTAGCTTACTTACCATATACCATATCTGGCTTACTTAACATGTGTCATATCTACCTTACTTACCATGTACCATATCTACCTTACTGAACATGTACCACATCTAGCTTACTTAACATGTACCATATCTAGTTTACTTGACATGTACCATATCTAGCTTACTTACCATGTACCGTATCTAGCTTACTGAACATGTACCACATCTAGCTTACTTAACATGTACAATATCAAGCTAACTGAACATGTACCATATCTAGTTTACTTGAGATGTACGATATCTAGCTCACTGAACATGTACCATATCTAGTTTACTTAATATGTGACATATCTAGCTTACTTAACATGTACCATATCTAGCTTACTTGACATTTACCATATCAAGCTAACTGAACATGTACCATATCTAGCTTACTGAACATGTACCATATCTAGTTTACTTAATATGTGACATATCTAGCTTACTTAACATGTACCATATCTAGATTACTTGACATGTAACATATCTAGCTAACTGAACATGTACCATATCTAGTTAACTTAACATGTACCATATCTAGTTTACTTAACATGTGACATATCTAGCTTACTTAACATGTACCATATCTAGTTTACTTAAAATGTGACATATTTAGTTTACTTGACATGTACGATATCTAGCTTACTGAACATGTACCATATCTAGTTTACTTAACATGTGACATATCTAGCTTACTTAACATGTACCATATCTAGTTTACTTAACATGTGACATATCTCGCTTACTGTATATGTACCATATCTAGCTTACTAACCATGTACCATATCTAGCTTACTGTACATGTACCATATCTAGCTTACTTGACATGTAACATATCTAGCTAACTGAACATGTACCATATCTAGTTTACTTAACATGTACCATATCTAGTTTACTTAACATGTGACATATCTAGCTTACTGTACATGTACCATATCAAGCTAACTGAACATGTACCATATCTAGTTTACTTAACATGTACCATATCTAGTTTACTTGACATGTACCATATCTAGCTTTCTTAATATGTACCTAATCTAGCTTACTTGACATTTACCATATCAAGCTAACTGAACATGTACCATATATAGTTTACTTAACATGTACCATATCTAGCTTACTCGACATGTACCATATCAAGCTAACTGAACATGTACCATATCTAGTTCACTTACCATGTACCATATCTAGCTTACTTACCATGTACCATATCTAGTTTACTTGACATGTACCATATCCAGTTCACTTGACATGTACCATGTCTAGCTTTCTTAACATGTACCATATCTAGCTTACTTGACATTTACCATATCAAGCTAACTGAACATGTACCATATCTAGCTTTCTAAACATGTACCATATCAAGCTTACTGAACATGTGACATATCTAGCTTACTGGACATGTACCATATGTAGCTTACTTAACATGTATCATATATTGCTTACTGAACATGTACCATATCTAGCTTACTTACCATATACCATATCTAGCTTACTTAACATGTGTCATATCTACCTTACTTACCATGTACCATATCTACCTTACTGAACATGTACCACATCTAGCTTACTTAACATGTACCATATCTAGTTTACTTGACATGTACCACATCTAGCTTACTTAACATGTACAATATCAAGCTAACTGAACATGTACCATATCTAGTTTACATAGCATGTACCATATCTAGTTTACTTACCATGTAACATATCTAGTTTACTTACCATGTACCTCATCTAGCTTCCTTAACATGTACCATATCTTGCTTACTGAACATGTGACATATCTAGCCTACTTACCATGTACCATATCTAGCTTACTGAACATGTACCACATCTAGCTTACTTAACATGTACAATATCAAGCTAACTGAACATGTACCATATCTAGTTAACATAGCATGTACCATATCTAGTTTACTTACCATGTACCATATCTAGTTTACCTGCCATGTACCATATCAAGCTAACTGAACATGTACCATATCTAGCTTACTTACCATGTACCATATCTAGTTTACTTACCATGTACCATATCTAGCTTACTGAACATGTACCTAATCTAGCTTACTTGACATGTACCATATCAAGCTAACTGAACATGTATCATATCTAGTTTACTTAACATGTACCATATCTAGCTTACTTAACATGTACCATATCTACCTTTCTTGACATTTACCATATCAAGCTTACTGAACATGTACCATATCTAGCTCACTGAAGATGTGCCATATCTAGCTTACTGAACATGTGCCATATCTAGCTTACTTACCATGTACCATATCTAGCTTATTTACCATGTACCATATCTAGCTTACTTGACATGTGCCACATCTTGCTTAATGAACATGTGACATATCTAGCTTACTTGACATATGTACTATATCAAGCTAACTGAACATGTACCATATCTAGCTTACTGAACATGTACCATTTCTAGCTTACTGAACATGTGCCACATCTAGCTTACTGAACATGTACCATATCTAGCTTACTGAACATGTGCCACATCTAGCTTACCTAAAATGATCATGACCGACTTATGTACGCAAAGTGTTTATGTCAGTGAGGCTGCCGTGGAGGCCAGATTGACAATCAGATCGGCATCTCTTGAAATAATGTCCGTGTGACCTTTTCTGGGAACATGTATGCCGCGTATCAGCTTCACTAGTTTCAGAGAGGAAGCAGTGTAGACACAACAGACCCTGACGACGCCGAGGCGGATAAATGGGCCTCGGTCCCGGCGAGCTGATGAGTACAAGAGGCAAGGAACTATGGTCAGCAGAGTGGTATGAGACTGAAATGCGCCGTAGTCATGAGGACGTATTTCAAGTCACGTTTGGCGCGCATGCTGACGTGAACACCAATACAATAGCCCGGGTGCCATGCATGACTTGAAATACATTTCTACAGTAGTGATATGTTTAAATAATACATAACGTGTTTCACGAAGTCTCCAAATAGATAGTTTTCTTGATATATTATAGAATGAAACATAATTCAAAAGTATTGCAAATGTGGGTGTGTTTTAGTTTATACCTTAGGTGACGGGTCATGTCACTTTCTTTTGGTTCAGATAAACATGGCCTAGAATCATATAATTCTCTGTGAGGCCCTGTTTCCTGACCTTTCCATTTCGACCTTTAGTAATGTATGCAGCTGTAATTATAGTTTCCTTTCCCCTCCAGTTATAAAGCCGAAACTTGGCCCACACGTTCTCACAAAGGACCACTGCAAAATGTGTTCAAGAGGTTCCGACCCGATTTAAAATATTATTGCAGAGTGTGTTGACTTCATTTAGAAATATCTTGCACTACAAGTGAAGCATTATGGTAAGTCTTTTTAACAGAAACGTCGTATGCTATTATTAAATCGGTGTGGTGCATCTTTTGAGAGAAATGTGATCTGCTGCTATTAATTCAGTGTGGTGCATCTATTGAGAGAAACATGATCTGCTACTATTAATTCAGTGTGGTGCATGTATTGAGAGAAATGTGATCTGCTACTATTAATTCAGTGTGGTGCATGTATTGAGAGAAATGTGATCTGCTACTATTAATTCAGTGTGGTGCATGTATTGAGAGAAATGTGATCTGCTACTCTTAATTCAGTGTGGTGCTTGTATTGAGAGAAATGTGATCTGCTACTATTAATTCAGTGTGGTGCATGTATTGAGAGAAACATGATCTGCTACTGGTCAATCAGCATAGGACGTTTATTGTCCGTAAGAACACACATCTATCAGAAAGTCAATATGACGTGATCCAGTGGATTTGTAGATTTCTTCGGAGTAACTTGTGTTAATATATTGTGCAAAACCTGAACATGTCAGTAAACCTCGACATTGCTGTAATATTTTATTAATGTATGTTATAAATATATTTGTAACTTTGTTGTGTTTAGGCCCCCATGCAGTCACGTCAACAGAAGGTAAGGGCATATCTTATGTGATAGAAAGGGGACGCGTGTCAGTACTTTAGCGTCATATACGTTGATATCCCACACAAAGAGCACAGGCAAACACTCGCGTTCCAAGAACTATACACTGCAGATCACGCAAGATGAACTGTTCACATTCGAAGCAGATTGCACGATTTCAGATAAACTCTATAGTGCAGTCTAGTGCTTAAGTAATAGATAATGGAGGAGTGTCAGTACTTTATCGGGATATGAACTTATAAAGTACTGGCACAAGTTCTCTATCTATCTTAGAGCACAGGCAAATACACGAGCTCCGATAAATGTACACTACAGATCGCACAAACTCATTGACAATCGAAAAAGATTACACTATTTTATATACTGAGCAACAAAAGTTCATGTGACATTGAATAAGATTTAATGCAAAGTTATGTTTTTTACCAAATCTGTAACAATTTCGGTTTGCAACAGATAAAAGACTCCTGTAAGTGTTCAAATGGTTTAATTTGCCATACTGACTTCAGAAAATGAAAGTGCCAAAATGTCAATTTACAAATCAATAGCGTGTGTGTCCACCTCTGGTTGCGATGCAAGCAACACATCTTCCTCTCATGGAATGGACCAGGCGTCGCACAAAGTCCTGTGGGATATCTGTCCATATCTGCTGGAGCATGTTTCGAAGTTCCTGGAGTGTCTGTGGAACACGTGGTTGACGTCGAAGACGCCGATCCATCTCATCCCACATGTGCTCGATTGGTGAGAGGTCAGGGGAGCGAGGCGGCCAGGGGATGACATTCACGTCGTTTTGTTAAAGAGAATCCTGAACAAGTCGGGCAATATGAGGCCGGGCGTTGTCATGTTGAAAGGTAATGCCTGGGCCATGACGACGCAAAAACGGTAGAACAACAGGGCCGATGATATCGTCGCGGTAGCGCTCTCCATTCAGATTTCCCTCTACCACTATCTAACGGGTTCTCTGTCTTGCTGTAATCCCACCCCATACCATAACGCTGCCGCCCCCGAACCGATCTTCTTCCATGACACAATGATTGACGTAACGTTCACCTCGACGTCGGTACACTCGAATCCGTCCATCGCTGTGGCTGAGGTGAAAACGAGACTCGTCAGTGAATAGAACTTGTCCCCACTGCATGGCCGTCCAGCGTGGCTACTGTCTGCACCACTGTAGACGTGCTTGACGGGGGGTTCCTGTAACAAATATCATATCTGGGATAACACTTTCTTAGTAAAGTACAGAGTCTCGTACTTTTTTGGGTTGAGTTGGTGGTTTCCTGTCGCAATGGGACGCTGGTGGGTCTTCTAGCGACAATCCCTGCACATCTGAGGCGACGACGTACGGTTTGTAAAGATATTCGTCGAAGGCCAGGGATACTTCTTGCAGTCACTGCTGCTGGCTGGAATCTATTTCGTAGGTGTGTTGTTCCAATCAAGTTGTCTTGTCAATTATTGGTTAGCGCGGCCCGCCACTTTGAGGATGGTCTCTGACTGCATTCGTCTGGTGCCAACGTTGCCACAAACACCAAATGGTGTTTCTGTGGACGTTAAATTGTCTTGCAACATCCAGTTGACTCGATCCTGCTTCAAGCATACCAATGGCTCGCGGACGCTGATTTTCAGACAGGCGTGGCATTTCGTAATGTTGAATAATTGCGTAATTGTGATGTTTTTCTGAGTGGTTGTTGTTAGCACGATGCTAAACAATGCATATGGAATCCCGTCAACGCATATGTTTTTATACCCATTCTTGGGTAGTGAAATGCATGGGGCTTGCATAAAAGTCAACTTTAGCATGGAATGTATGCTTTTCTGTAGCAGTTGCGTTTGTGTGACTTGATTCCATACATGTCCTACAATATTGAAAACCAAATTTTACTTGTTTGAAAAATACATTAAAAATGTGTGTCACAGGAACTTTTGTTGTTGAGTATATAAACTGTACGGTTCGTGCAACCTACCCAAGCATGCCCGTATCCTTCTAGATAATGTATTGCTCGCTAGTTAACAAGTTCATGAGAAGCTACAACCATGGATAGTGATGATGACATTTGGTTATCTCGGGCAAGTGAAAATACAACTTAATTTGATATTGAACTGCGCCGAAATTAGGATTGGATGATTTTGAATTCTTCAAAAAATTTAAACCCAGCGACCTCAAAAGATAATGATCGTTTTGCATCTCGTACTTCAGCCATGATAGATAATTCAATTGCAAATCGAATCCCAGTTAAAACCAGAATTAATACAAAGTGGGGTTTTAACATTTGGACAGAATGGGCAACAACACATAAAAATAGAGACTTGTGAGTTGATGAAGCTACATGTCTGTACCACAATTTTGGCTATGTTGGCTGAAGAATTAAACCATTGGATTAAGTCAATGTAAATACGCTATCCGCAGATCTCTATCAGTGACCGTGCTCTATATTGAGTCATATAAGGGACAATTATTTGACATTGTATTTTGGATTTTCAGACTGAGGAATCAAAACTGTCTATCTGCCATGACCAGGAAAAGGGACAGTTTTCAAATTTAAGCAAGGTGACAAAGAGATCCAGATTGCTATGGAATGTAATGTAGTCAGAGGAATTTACTTAATCAATTACAAAGTCGTTATTGGTGATAAATAAATAAAAGAACCCATTGAGTGTTATTTAAGTCATGGCGTGCTGAAATTTACAAGAATCACGAAGCACGAGTTCGACGCCTATATAAACTGTATACTTTACAGTACTTTATAAGCATATAAATGTACTCCACCTAAATGGTGACCATCCATTGGACGAAAGTATTTGCCTGTGCTCTAAGGCCTGTGATGATGTAGCATGCAAGTGTCACGAAGCACGAGAGCTTCGCGGCTCTATAAACTGTACACTTTACAGGACTTTAACAGTGTGTGTTAAGAAAGTGAATGAAGCGCAATCGAATGAAGATTGTTGACCCCAAACATGTTTTGAGACTGCTGCTGTTAAAAGAAATTTAGGGATAATCGTTTCGGGAATATTTCGTCGGATTACCGCAATAGGATTATCGGCAACAATATATTTAAAAAACCCAAATCCTCTTTCGCCCCCAAGCCGTGATAAAACTGGAATACTAACACACGCTCTTTCACACTTTTATCATTAGGGCAGTTTCTCGTGGGGATTCAGGTTCTGTGAACAGTTTCAACTGTTGTTTTGTTTAACGCCGCACTGAGCAATATTCAAGCTATATGACAGTCATATGTAATTATCGAATCAAGGCCAATCATGTGATGGATGTAATGCGCAACTGGTCACGCCGTCTGGTAGATGATAGGCAATCAATTGTCACCAACCCGATCACCCGATTAATTAAGTCGCTTCTTGCGAAAAGTAAAAGTTGCTGGGGACCTATTCTTACCAGATTATTCACAAAGTTGACATCAAATTTGACTTATTCATTCACTCACCAATGAACATGTTGACCACAGCTCCTGAAACATCTCCGCGGAAACGTGTTGCTGATAGCAACAATTCTATCAGTGTTTCTTGGGGTGACTATTGGGCTTCTGTGTCGGCAATTCAAGCCCTCAGCAGACACCATTGCCTTGGTGGAGTTTCCCGGAGAAATATTCATGAGGATGTTGAAGATGTTGATGGTGCCCCTGATAGTATCAAGCATGATTACAGGTAAGTCACTGAATTACAATAATTGGCATTTTACAGGATGTTGGCATTTTGAAATGGACTTCGTGGAAGATCTGGACTATCATTACATACCCTGCATAATTCCCATTCTGACAAATTCTAAAAATGTAAGACGATTCTAAAGGAAAATTAGATTATGCTAGCTAAAATTGTCATTTCTCAAAATGCCTTTAGTGTGAACTGCCATGTGTTTATACAGTTGAGGCACCATATATCAGGGGCGATGAGATATCCTTTGTGGTTAAAGCGTTCGACAGTCACGCCGACGATCTGACTTCGGATTCCTGAAATTGACACAATGCGTGAAGCCCATGTTTGGTGTCCCCTTCGTGATATTGCTGGAATATTGCTAAAAGCGGCGTAAGACCATACTTACTCGCTCATGATCACTCACCATATATCACGTCTCAATCACACTAAACGTTTGTGGCATTCAGGTGTTGCGGGCATGGACAGGCAAACGTCAGGTAAGATGGGACTTTTCACAATCGGGTATTACATTTCCACCACTGTCATTGCCATCATCTTAGGATTTGTCCTTGCGTTCTCCATCAAACCTGGAAATATCGACTTCACCTCAGCGAACGTCCGCACTTCTGAAGACGTTCGTCAACCATCTTCGAGGGATGTTTTCTTGGACCTTGTGAGGTAGGCAACTACAATGTTGTAATAGCTTCCCGGTAACAACACTCATACGGAATGAGTTTATTTGAGTATAATGTTGATTCTGAAACCATGCATTTGGCGTCATTTTGCAAACATTTCGCGTAAGGAAATAACGAAAGCATGTTTAAAGTGTTTGCGAACAGACGAAACTTGGTATTTTCAAGTCAGGGAAACACATACGTTGCCATCTGTTTGTTTCAAATATAGGGTTTTGTTTGTTTTGTTTGTTTATTTGTTTAACGCCGCCATCACCAATATTCGAGCGATATGATGGCGGTCTGTAAATAATCGAAGTGGACCAGACAATCCAGCAATTGCCATTATGAGCATTGATCTACGTAATTGGGATACGATGACATACATCAACCAAGTCAGCGTGCCTGACCACCCGATCCCGTTAGCCAATAACGGTTCATGAACTACTCATCCAATGCTAAAGTACGTACATTTGGCAGAAATCATTATTCTTGGACTATCATCAAAACCTTAAAATCGATCCCAAGTATACAGGACACGTCGCCTTAAATATGATATTGTAGTCACAGAAACAAATCAAATACTTTTGTATTTGTTTTCTTTCCTGTTTAGGAACCTTTTCCCCGATAATCTAGTGCGTGCAGCATTCCAAAGTAGTGGTACAGTTTATACACAGAAAGAGACATCACAGGAAAATATAGACGGAAACGAAACAGTCCCTTACACCATTGGAGCTGATGTATCAACAAACGTAACACATGAAATGGAGACGCATGAAAAACATGAAAACAGTCTAACGTGGGTGGGTAAACTTGCGTACAAGCCTGGAGTAAACACTATCGGTAAGGCTATTGTAAGTTATTTAGGAAACATATATATAGTGTTTTCAATGTAGAATTAGGTTACATAGGTTGCTTCATACATTTTTAGGTCATGAGACAGCGAAAGTACTATGTATGAAACTGATATAAAGAAGATGATGGACTAATGTGGACTTTATTATTTTATTATATATTACATGTTCATAATATGCGTGCACGTTAACTGGTGGATGTTTTCAACAGGCCTGTTGGTATACTGCTGTGTGTTTGGAGCCATACTCGGGAAAATGGGCAAAAGCGGCAAAGTTCTCCTTAAATTCTTCAGTGGTGTTGCCATGATCACAATGAACATGGTCAGCAAAGCAATGTTGTAAGTATAGCATTTGTGTTAGCACTACACCGTGAAACATGCCATGACAAAACAGAACATAGTTCAGTAATAGATAATGCATTATAAATATATTCTTTATCTGCCTTGTGTCAAAGTTAGGTATAATCAAGGTCATTCGTAAACATTACCAGAAGGATTCAGAGTGAAAACTGTTAGGGTCCAACACTGTCGTCAGCAATATTCCACATGTAGTCTGGACGACAAGTGATTCTTCTTATGAGCACCGTCCCACACCGCCGGGCATGGTGACACACAATCAACAAAGGTGACGACACGATATTACTGATTTATACTGCATTTCGCAAAAAAATTCCCAATCCGTAGATGACTGCATTAGACTAAGATGTGGACCATGTGTTTTCTGAAGCTATGAAGGTATTCGGTGGGAAAATAAAAGCCTGGTATGCGTGTTGTTAGAGCCGTCTACTGAAGATATATCGTGTTGGTACACTGCGTAACCTCCCGTGAAGATTCGCGGTAGAATAGGTCTTCAGCAACCCATGCTTGCCGTAAAAGGTGACTATGCTTGTCGTAAAAGCCGACTCACGGGATCGGGTGGTCAGGTTTGCTGACTTGGTTGATGCATGTTATCGATCTCAATTGCGTGGATCGTTGATCATTATATTAATCACTGGATTGTCTGGTCCAGACTCGATTATTAACAGACCCCCGTCATATAGCTGGAATATTGCTGAGTGCGGCGTTAAACAACAAACCAACCAACCTACCAACATTGCGTTACCTGGACGGGGGCACTGAATTGCGTGCATCATGCCCCGACAGTATTGCTTGTTACTTATCCAGCCTACTACAATATACCCTCAGTCTATTTCTACGGGTGACAATGACATAGCGTGAACACTGCTGGCTGGCTAACAGCAACATGAAGTTGCTTGCGCGGCATGGAACATCATTAGCCTTCCTCTCTGCATCTTCTGCTCAGGTACTCGCCAATCGGAATACTCGCTCTGATAGCTGGGAAGATTCTGGGTGTAAAAGATCTGGCGGTGACTGCTCAACACCTTGGGATGTACATGGTCACTGGCCTGATTGGTCTCTTTATCCACGCTGTTATTGTAATCCCGCTGATATATTACATTCTAACAAGGAAGAATCCATTCAGAGTGACCCTAGGAATACTTCAAGCTCTTATCACTGCTTTTGGAACTGACTCAAGGTTTGTCATGTGTTGACTTAAGGATGAAGTTTTTTAGAAGCGTTCTTTTTAGCAGTCTACTTTTTACTACTAAAAGGGAGGGGGTATATAGTTATACCAAAGTGATACCAAGGAATTCCGTCCGTCCGAGGACATGTTTTGTGTTTGCTACCTAACTGGAAAACGACTGAAAAGTTGTTTTTCCAACTTGGTGAACACTTGTTATACCTATAGGAGAGGTGCAGTGTTTAAAGTTTTGGATTTTCTGGAAAAATACAGCAGTTTTTCATCAGTTTACTTAGAATGTGTTTACTTAAACATTTGTGTGACCCTTAACTAGAAAATAAGGTGCAGTGCTAAGTTTGATTTTGATATGTGTATTTTCTGAAAAATTATATGTGTGACTTTTATCATATTTTGAACTTAGAATGTTTTTTACTTCGACATTTGTGCGACCTATAATTTAAAAACTACTTCATGGATTATTTTCTTATTGGGGTTACAGTTTTTATTCAATAGGAGAGGTGCAGTGAAAAGTTTGATTTCGATAAGTGGATTTTTTTAGGAAATATTGCTTTCTTCATGTTTTGAACTAAGAAATATGTTGGAGTCGAAGTCGAAGGTATCAATGAGCCCTGTTCATTTGTCGTGTTAACTTTCTTTCAAACCTTTTGGTCCCTGTGGGCATCACAGAACAGAGCAGAGCCACACTACCTCCACCTCATAGTTGTCATAAGAATTGACTGAAATGGTGGTTCAGTGGTCAGGCTCTGTGCACGGAGCGATGGCATGACATCAAACCCCGAAGACGTGGAGCGTTGCTTATGCTTTCACAGCAGGAGTAGGAACAGACCCTGGTTTACCTTTTCCTTCGGTTATACAGGTCACTGTGATCTATGCTGATTGTGACGTTAAGGAACATTAACTCATATCGATCTCTTACTTTACAGTTCAGCTACACTCCCTGTGACAATACGCTGTTGTGAAGAGAAGTTAAAGATTGACAAGACAATCACCCGCTTCATGCTGCCAATTGGAGCTACCATTAATATGGATGGGGGAGCATTGTTCCAAGTCATCACTCCTCTCTATTTAGCTCAGCTCAGCAAGATCAACCTAGATTTTACACAGATGCTAACATTAGGGTACCTAACACTCAACAGTATCACTATTTGAAGTCAAATAAAACCGTCGGTGCATTGGTGCCCGACAGAGCTCACAAGATTATAACGTGCACTTATGTACGTCTTCCCCCAAACCAGGAAAAAGTATCTGTATCTATTTTGTCACTCATGATCCCAGAAATGACATCCACGTTCAAATATCTTTTTACACTTTCATATATTTTAAAATATGTCAACATGTGGTATGCTGAAACGCTCTTTATGCGTATTTTAAATTTTGTCATCACTGATGATACTTACAATTTATTTTACAGCGCTTAATGTCCTGTTTAACTGTTTAGTGGCGCTTGCATTTAATCATGTACATTTTATTTTATAAAAGTATAGACATGTCCTGTAAAATGAAGATATTTTAAAGAATCTATACAGTCATATACACAAAATAAAATAAATGAATTTCACGGCCAAGGCCATCATGCTACAAACTTTTAGTTGGCAGCCAATTATTAATGTACCAATTTAAGTACATTTTGTTTTGAGATGATTGAATCCCTTTCTTTTATGATCATAATCTAAAGTTACAAATATGCCAGGAAAATGCACGAAAGCGCCACTGTCTCGTTCCCATGGTAATATTCCTTGCATCGTTCTATGGTTTCTAAATAGAGGTGAGGGAATACAAAACCATGGCGCGGTGGCCCAGTAGGTACATCGTCCAATTATCACAGGGAAAACCCAGGTTCGAGCTCCAAGATATGGGGGACTATGTCATGTTCATTCTTAATGTCCGAATCCATAAAACCAAACTCACTAAAACGTACTCAGGAAAAGTTTTTGTATTGCACCGATTCAATTAGTGCGTGTTTACATTATGTCACAAAGTGTTGCTTGTACTTGTACATGACGTTGGGACACAAGATGTTAATGGTCCGTTGTTTTTAGTCTTGCAGCAACTCTGGCCAGTATTGGGGCAGCAGGATTACCGGGCATAGGACTCATCATCACAATGATGGTCATGTCTTCCGTGGGACTACCCATTAACAACCTGTTCATGATACTGGCTGTCGATTGGTGTTTGTGAGTGTTTAATTTTCTGAGATGAGTAGTCAGTGGGGAATAAAGATGTTTTATGAAACGAGTTAATAAACGACATCGGAGGCACACTTGTAGTCAGGATGTAACGTGCCCAAGCGTGCGTGAGTGATATGGGTTTAACGCTGGTTTGAACATGTATTTCACTGCAGTGAACATACCACTTGATATTTCACTGCTATGAACATAAGACTTTTCCGGAACTATTTCCACACAAGAGTTACCTCCCTGCTAGTTGTCTCCCTTTATCGTAGGTGTCTGGCCCGTACACAAACTGTTGACTTCCCTTTTACGTTAGTTCCACACTGACAAGGCTAAACAATCACAGATGGTCATCCATGGTGTTACCATCGTTTCATGCCGTTTATTATTCTCTTGAAAATGTTTCGTTATAAACTTTAAATTTATCATTTAACTCGTCAATTGAGCTTGTTCGTTTTGTAAAGCGCCATTTTATTTACTTGACCAGCGTGTATTCTTTCCCTTCCAACAGCGGTCTCGTAATTGGCAAGAATATATTTAGTTAAAATTGATTTTGTAAATAATCATATCTATATGTGTGGCACAGAATTTTCGTGACCCTAAATGCTGCTATGTTTATATTTGTTAAGATTTTGCAATCATGAAACTTTTTTAGTTGCAAATACAATGGGCGGTGAACCGTCCCTGTGTTTAAGGTAGGGAGAATTTACGTTTCAAGGTTTTACATTTGTAAGGAAACAATTAAATTTTCCGGTAGACAACTACACAATAAGTATATAATTAATAGGATATTCCATATGTCTCGCGAAATATCATGTCCCTCTCCTCTCGTGTTGAGGTAAAAAAGATATTTTCACTTGTCAAAATGTCTCCTTTCCCCCTTCACTCGATGAGCGAAACATGATATTTCACTCGACACATGAAATATCCTCTATACCTTACGTTTGCTGTACGTGGTGCACAAAGCTGGAAACTCAATGATTTTGACACATTTGAACATGTTTTTTTCTGAAATTGTAAATGTAACCGGGATTGTGCAGGTAAACCAGACACAGGCTACGGGTGTGAGACTTTATTTCTTTGTCTATTGACAGATAGACACATGTTTAGGGAATACATTCTAGTTCAGGATAAACATGTACACATATATAAATAAATACAACAAATTGATATCACAAACCATTTCTATTACAATAGGGGTAATTATAATATCGTTCCTCAGAAAATATACGCAATAAATAATACTAAACAGAAATAATGACATTATCATTAACACATTTAATTGAGGCAACCATCAAAGAACGATAACTCCTTGATAAGACAAACACAAGGCAATTACTTAATACTAACCTACACGTTGCGATGAACGTTAAACAAATTGAACGCTAAAGATAGAGACACTTTGTATCTTACACAATTGCAATATAATGACACAATAATAAGTTTCGTACCCTGTGGGTGACACTGGGTGTAGATTATTCCACTTCCTCTGGAGGAATAAGTAAATGCACATATTATTAACAAATAGAGAGTCCTTCATTGCTTGTGTTGAGAATTATAGTTTATCTTTGAGACAGGGCCTTGGTTGTCAATTTGTTGGACCCAGCAATATGTCTGCTTCGACGGTTTTCGAGTAAAATAAGCCATCTAGACTGACATATCCACCTTGAGATTCTGGGTTATTGCCCTCCTTCTGGTTACCTCTGCTGGTTGCAAGAGGCAACATAATGGATCGGGTGGTCAGGCTCGACTACTTCGTTGATTGGATGTAATCGTAAACCGACGAGGTATAAACTAACAAGCCCATAACACCTGTGGATATATATATACTTGGACTATCACTATTTCAGAGGCCGCATGAGAACAATGACAAATGTTAGTGGTGACTGTATGGCAGCTTCAATTCTCCAGCATATTTTCAAACCTGGCGCGGGACGGGATGTACCCAACAAGAATGATGGAAACGGAGCAGCGCCAGAAGACGCCGCGAGAATGATGGAAGACCATGATGTTGTCTGAAAAACAGAAGACCCTTCCATGGATTTCAATACAAATGCGTAAAATCATCTTCTGGTGTCGTGACGAAAGACATTACAATAATTTCTTAAAATTGAAACGCAGTGTCAGTATTGGCAGTCCACTCTCCCTTGTCGAGCCCTTGCTCTATGGGTTATACAACCATATGGTGAATGAAACCTCTCACCTCTCCTGTCCTTCAAGAGCTGATTCCGTTGAGTGGGTTCCAGCGCTGTGTTGAAAGTTGAATTGTATTTCTTTACATGAAATAAATCAATGTGTCTCAATAGTTTTCCCGATAAATGTCATCTATCTCTGGATGCAGTTAATGCACCCATGGGGATTCAGGGTTTAGAATTGGTCCCCAAGAACCTGTGGACGACTAAATGGATGGCACAGTCAAGCTCCGTGAGGTCCCGATGGCTTGGATCGTTGTTCGCAGTTCTAGTCACACGATTATGTACGGCCCGTCATATAGCTGGACTACTTACCAGTACCGCTTCTAACAAACAAACAATGCATCCATTACCAAAAATCAACTCACAATTGTCACTCGCCGTTAAGGCCGGTCTTTTATACTTATTTGATAAATTCTGAATTTATCAAATTGTCGCGTTTGTAACTCTTTCATGTGTGTTTCTAGGTGTTACAGCAGAGCATGGTAGGAAGTATCCTTTCTATTCCTCTCGGATTCGCTAGATTGCTGAAACATTGCCGATACTATTTAACATTTTACCTCACTCCCTAAGTCCTCTCCTAAGGAACTTATATTTCGCGAACTTTTCAATCAGCTATGAACTGAACTGAGAGTCGTGACTGCACGTTCACCCAAACACAACAATGTAGCACTTGGTATCTGGGTATGGCCGATTTTCGATCTATGTATGTCTACAGGATGACCTACACATTAGGAAACCCCTACCAAACGTTATTGGGAACGTTAGTCAATACTGAGCGAGGAGACCTTGCGTTGATGTAGGAAGCTTAAAAACAGTTTCTGACAGATGACTCATTTGCATTTATATCGAATCATTACACCGATTTGATCTGATTGGTTTATCGCATCGATAATGCTGTCCGTTTTATCGTAATGTTTTTTCTTCATCTAGTCATTACTCGTCTTTGAATGCGTCCTTTTGACAAGGTAGGCACCTTGAGTTGTATATTCCCCAGGGAAAAGCTGATCCACTGACCAGGGTAAAAAGCTGTGCTACTATAAGCATAGTGGCAGGCGTGACATTGAGGGCCATAGAACTGTAGTCTTTGTCATTATTATCATATATGTACTATAGTTTTCACCTAATACTTAAAACCTCTGAAAATCCTAATCATTCAGTTGAGCTGTATAAAGCGAAGCCATGCCATTGAATATTGTAGCTCCCTCCATGTTGATCATGGCATTTATGGGAAGCACAAAGCGGGTGACAAACTTCTCATGCTTCAGGTTCTCCTCACAACAAGTATAGACACAGCGAGTGCAGCAGCTTTAGTAATTGAACGCGGAACCATTGAATAATCATTATAAAATTCATTTGTTCTATAACTTCGAGAGCTCCCCAAAACTTGCATTTATATTCAATACACGTTATCACGGAACTACTTTCCAAAAAAACCGTCGATCTTGTTTAAGTCTATGAATAACTGGATGCCGATCGATGTTTCGAGCGACTCGTAAAGGATCCATTTTTTATTGTATTTCATTTATTGTGAATGCATCGAAGTATAACAGTATAAATTGTATAAATTGATCAATTGCCGCTGCGTCATACGTGACATACTTTCTCACCAAAGAAGATCATGCTCAAAGTAGATCTAACTGCCACTCAGATGAGGAAGGGCTGGTTGCAACAGGCAACTGGTGTAAGAGTACACGCCTAGACACCCAGGTGTACATTTTTAAATACCAGGGCGTTGCATCTGAATGCACCATCTAATCACAGTGACATTTCACATCATTCATGAACACACACAAGAAGCACAGAAGCCAAAGTGTCAGAAGCCACAATCATCGTCAAACGGGTGGGGTTTCAATGAGATGTGTGAAGGTTTGCGTCCTCCCGTTGTTCCATTTGCTGGAGTTTTCGGCATAATTTTCAACTGCAAGATAACCACATCGTGCCCATTTTGTCACCGAATGTCTCCGACGAGAAGGCAAACGGCCATTGGACTGGCCCGCTAAGTCCCCTGACATGTCAACGATAGAGCATCTGTGGGATGTTCTCGGGTGGAGAGTGTAAGCTAGAGTCCCAGCACCCTCAAAGTAGTTCAACTTGGGTTGGCACTTCAGGCGGAATGGCAGGCAATACAAGGCGACCATGCGCAAGTTAATAACCAGTATGCCATTAAGGCGTCGTGCATGTGCATGGTGGAAACACCAGATATTGACCAACACGCCGGAAATTAATTTTACAGATATTTATCGTAATTACACCTTCAAAAAAAGGTAAAACTGCTGTGAAATTGATTCTGGGAGATGTAAAGAGTTCCTGTTTAACATTTTCGCTTGATATTCAGTGATGGACGATCTATAGAAACTGAAACGATGTTTCACAGAAGCGTTTCCATTGGAAAAAGTGCTTTGTGCCCAAAATTGTAAACGTCACACATGATCATGAACGACCATCTGTTCGCGGGACTGCATCGCCTGGGTGGCTTCACTTGAGACTTGATTGCTTCCCCGAATCACCTGGATGTTTTCGGGTGACTCTTCACAGCTTCCCTGATTCGTTGATGCTCCATCAAATGAATCTTGAGAGATATCCTGCTTGGACTTTGCAACTGGTGGAGCCCTTCCCTTCTCAAGATGCTTTTGATTCCTGTAGGCCTTGATCTACAAATACACATGTAATAAGGATTTTTTTTCAAATTATGCGATGTTGTAGATACAGAAAAAGGTTTAATAATATCCACAATTTGGTGCCTGGGTATAAGTTCTATTCATGATCTGACGAGTCTCGTTTTCACCTCAGCCACAGCGATGGACGGATTCGAGTGTACCGACGTCGAGGTGAACGTTACGTCAATCATTTTGTCATGGAAGAAGATCGGTTCGGAGGCGGCAGCGTTATGGTATGGGGTGGGATTACAGCAAGACAGAGAATCCGTTAGATAGTGGTAGAGGGAAATCTCAATGGACAACGCTACCGCGACGAGATCATCGGCCCTGTTGTTCTACCCTTTTTGCGTCGTCATGGCCAAGGTATTACCTTTAAACATGATAACGCCCGGCCTCATATTGCTTGACCTGTTCAGGATTCTCTTCAACAAAACAACGTGATTGTCATCCCCTGGCCGGCTCGCTCCCCTGATCTCTCACCAATCGAGCACATGTGGGTTGAGATGGATCGGCTCCTTCGACGTCAACCACGTGTTCCACTGACACTCCAGGAACTTCGAAACATGCTCCAGCAGAAATGGACAGATATCCCACAGGACTTTGTGCGACGCCTGGTCCATTCCATGAGACGAAGATGTATTGCTTGCATTGCAACCAGAGGTGGACACACACGCTATTGATTTGAAAATTGACATTTCTATGGTGGCCGAGAGGGGACATCGCTTTCTCGCTTTCTCGCTTTCTCGCTCTATCGCTTTCTCGCTTTCTCGCTTTATCGCTTTATCGCTCTATCGCTTTCTCTCTTTTTAAGCAATTAATATCCCCTCTTGACCACTATAGTGGCCGCATGTGATATCTGCTGCAATTGGGAGGTAATGCTGAACTTTTCTCACTATTTACTGGAAACATAATTTAACTGTAGAGACGTAGGTGATTTTAAAACAATCCACCGATTTTTGCGTAAAATGTTATTGATTTATTTATGGCCCTATTCAGTTCTATGTGACCATCACGCCGAAAGTGCGTGGCAGATCATGGCAATACGCTCCAAATAAATCAAGTTAAAATCTAAATATATACAATATATATAAGTTAAGAAGACTATGGTTAATTAGTCATGGCTGATTGTTTTGCAAAATACAATCTTGTAATTGTGAGTGTTCTATAACTTGTTTTCGGTAGTATATAATGTTACAGTTGTCGATAAATGTTCTTTTTGACATTTGATGTATGTTTAACTTGAATTGTGTTTCTTGCCTTGTGCAAATCAACAAATATATGTACTTGCATATAGTAATTTGATAAACACCGCTGTGAGTGAGTGAGTGAGAATTGTTTCACGTCGCTTTTAACAATAATCCAGTAATATCACCGGGAACACCAGAAATGGGCTTCACACATTGTACCCATGTGGGAAATCGAACTGTGTCTTCGGCTTGACGATCGAACGCTTTAACCACTAGGCTACCCCACTGTCCCCATCGCTGTGGCGTTACCACAGTTGATATGAGTACTTGTGTAAACTACACATATGGAGAGACATAATTAGTGTGGCCACATAGTTAAGGTTGATAACATGAAATGCATTACTATGATTATCTATAACATATATTAAATCAGCTATTATAATATGTTATCTATATCTTAAGTATAGTTTTGTCAAAATTATGTGTGTGTGTGTGTGTGTGTGTGTGTGTGTGTGTGTGTGTGTGTGTGTGTGTGTGTGTGTGTGTGTGTGTGTGTGTGTGTTTGTGTGTGTGTCTGACTCATTATCTGTGTAAAAAGGTAGTAGATAACTACATAACTCACATCAGAATGCACAATTGTTAACCATACAATGTAAATGGATAGAGAATTGCTACATAAATATGTAAATTCCTGCCTGAGCCTATGCTATAATTGGATATCTAGTCTCTCCTGGCGGGAAAGTTAAACTATATTTTACAAGCACTTTAGCATTAATTTAATTCCCGAAGACAGTTTGATCGAAAGTCATTATAAGAAACGAGTTGTTTTTAAAACATATTTACAACGCATTTCATTTCTGTTGTCCAAGGAATGGGGTTCTCTAAAGTCGTATATGTGACTTAAGGTAGAGACATATATCTAATTCATCTGTATTTTGTAAGGGAAACATAACTGTGTACATGTACAACTTTTTTTTGCATAATGTGCATGCAACTTAATGAACATAATTGTGATCCCGAAATCGGCCGAGCACATATTCGGCTTCAATTCCAAATTTAATGACAGAAAAAAATAATTCTTTGGACTTTGCAAACAATACAAACTGGCTAATAAAACTGACAATTATTTGTCAATATATGATCTCCTTTTTATCAGTTTTAAGATTGATGGAGGAATGAGGGGAGGATACTATGAACAAAATGAAAATATGAACAGTGACTATCTGTATTCTGTGAATCCTGCTTATTTATTACACTACAAGAAAATAT